GCCCAAAGGGCAGGTTCAAGTCTTCGAGATGGGTCTGAATGTCCCTTTAACATCATTCCCTCTAATACCCAAATATACCTCAAGTCATTACCCTGTTTTTATAATACGTTCTGAACCATATGTTCGGGAACTAATTAGGCATACAATTCAAGCCCTGGGATCAGGTGGCACTCTGTCGAAATATCTTAACCTTTCATGATTATCTTAATTTAGAGAAAATTCAAAACACATTCGGAAGTCTCAGAAAATGAAGCAAGTAGGAATTTACTGGCTGCTTTTCTTGATGTTAGGATCGTTTCTTTACAAGCGCGGTCCAGGCCTCCTGGGAAATCGTCAGGACTCGCTCACAGCTTGCAGGGATATGACAGGGACCAGGCCTCCGTGACTGTTCCCAGCTTGTATCTAGCCATGTGCAGTTCCCAGTTCCACCACCATCCATGCATGAGACAGAAGGAAGACTAAAAGAGTGGGAACAGCGTTTGGGAGCTTTCCCTCCTTCTCTGATAAGGCATAAAATAAGTTGGTGAGAAATAGCCCTGTAGTCTGTATTGTCTGGGAAGATTCATAACCTGGACTCACAGAACTAGTTTCCCATTGTCTGTGGGGATTGACAGATAGGAGGTTCTAGATATGGAATTCTAAATTTCAGGTTTATTCTGGAGCCTCTGGGAGGGCTGGGGTTCTTGTGTCCTTTGCCTCTGTGTGGTGTGTCTGCAATGTACATCACAACGTATAGCAATGTATACCACAAGTTCTTTGAGCTGCTTTCTGGACCCATCTTTCCAGAGCCCCTATTCAAAGTCAGGTCTGCTCTGTATGCTTTAAAAAGCTCCTGACAATAGAGGTCCAGCTAGTGCGGGCCGACTGGGTCAGCTCTCAAAAGTCACTCCTTATTGATGTCCTTTTAGCAATCAAACTTGTGGAATAAAGTCTCCAGCCAAAGTGCCCGGTCAAATTTAAATTTCTGATAAGTGTATGTATGTCCTTTTGTAACTCCAAGTGTATTCTAAGTACAGAAAAAGACAATTCCACCAAGTAACTGCTGGCTACAACTCTAAATCTCAGGTTAACTGGGAATCTTGTATTTTATCTGTTAGGTCTTGTAGACAAACTTCAAGATAGAGTCTAATGGAGATGGTAATTTGAAGGTTGCCAACAAGGAGCAAAATTGAATCAGACCCTTCACTGGTGATAATTCCTCTTAGACCTCAACCCAGCTCCATGAGGTAGGGCCTGTGAGTGACCCGAGGCTCAGAGATGTCAAGTGACTCCCCTAAAGTTTCCCATCTGCATGGTTAGCCCAGCTTTGCTAGACTTCAAAGCCTGGACCCCTTCGATGCTACCCCAGTGCCAAGCTGATGGTTATCTTTCCTGAGTTCTCATTTCCCCCCCACAAACATCCAAGGAGAGGTTCACTCCCGTCAGATCAATCCTGAGTTCTCATTTTCCCCCCACAAACGTTCAAGGAGAGATTCACTCCCGTCAGATCAATGTCACTGCTGTAATGAAAACCACCACCCAAGCCCACGGAGGACGAGGTCTGTGGAACCCTAATGAGAATGGTTCCGATTATGTAGAAAGCAACCTCGTGGTTATTCTAATGTTACAAGTAAATATAAAACATTTAGAAATACTTGGCCTGGCTTTTTTTTTCAAGTACAGATGTCTGACTCTCTGCCAGTTTGTTGTTAAAATTGCTACGGTGGTTGGGTACAAAGATTGCTGTGGAAATAAAAGCTGATGCTCTCTGGACACCTGTTTTGACTTTGCAGAGAACCTGGTGATGATGAGGTCAGAGTTGATGGTGGTGGCTAAGAGTGGCTCTTGCTCTGAACCCCGATATTCACAACCCAGTCGCTGCTCTGCTGAAGACTCACAGTGGCGCCCCCATTGTCCCCTGAACCTGCAGCCTCAGCTGCTGCCATCCTTTTCCCTCACTCTCCAGGGCATCTTCCAACTCACCCTGCATGTGCACTTGCCAGACCCTTGGTTAGGGCTCGTCCCCTGCTCTTGTTCTGACTGGTACCTCTTCTTCCTCCTCCATCTTCTCCAGCTCCAGGCACGGATGGTACACAGCTCCACTGGATTCCTTTATTTCCTGAAACTCTCTGACCTCCTCTTCTTTACTTCAAGTCTTGCCACTAGAAGGTAAACTCTACCAAGGTGGGGACCCTAATGTTGTGTCCATCTGCATCGCCACCCAACACCCAGGGAAGCGTGGAGTAGATACAACTCACTCCATAAACATTTGCTGAACAAGTGATCCATCCAGACACCCAACATCCTGCACTCCTCATCCCTTCTAAGGTCATATGGGGAAGTAACACCCTCCACAAACAGCACTACTCACTGAGATGCCCTCCTCCAAACAGGAGGTGCTGTATTTTTGGGGGTGCGCTCTGAACCACACCAGTGGACTCCTCATTGCAACAGGACTTCCCTACGGTAAGAGAATAAGCAGAAGTCTCAAGGTTCACAGGCATCAGTGTGACACTAATAATCTTCCCATTGCAAGCGGGTGTGTTGATGAGACACGCATGCAGAATGCAGGCGCTGTTGAACAGCTCTTCCCTCGCTGCAGTGGTGCCTCTCTGTGCAGCTGCCTGCCATTGGCCCTTAATATTTTGTTGCACACATGCTGTGCTTCCTCCACACTGTCCCCTCCCTGCCGGTTATCTGGCTGTAGAGAGCACCCTGCCCTGACAGCACATCCTCAGACACTCATCATCACCGGCCTAATGCGGAGGTCACAGTCTCTCCCTTCCAGTCCTGCTTTGGCTGCTTCTTCTGTCACCCTAGAACGCCTTTGTTCTTTATTCTCATCGCCTTCTGCATGAGTCTGATTTTGAGATGCTTTGAGAGAAAGCGCTGGGCTCATTCCTCTCGCCCCAACATAGACTTCTGTTTGCTAATGTTGTTGAACTGGATACATGATCTCACAACTTCAAGTCTTCAGCTCTGAGACTAACACTGGGTCTACGGGTGATAAAGCTATACCTTCCCTACTCCACAGGGAGAGGCAACATGGTTACTGGACCAGGCATTCTAGTGTGTGTGTGTGTGAGAGAGAGAGAGAGAGAGAGAGAGAGAGAGAGAGAGAGAGAGAGAAGAAGAAGAAGGAGGAGGAGGAGGAGGAGGAGGAGG